TGTGGCCACGGAGCGTGGGAGGGGTTTGCCAAACTGGGCGCGGGGGGCGCATGCGAGCGCAGCCACCGGGGCCGACGGTGGAGCTCTGATGGGGCCACGAAGCGTGTGCGGGGCGTGCCCGACATAGGTGCGGTGGGCGCATGCAAACGCAGCCACCGGGCCCGTCGGTGGGTCTCCATATGGGGCCACGAAGCGTGTGTGCCAAAATTGGTGCGTTGGCGCCACGCGAGCGCAGCGATTTGGGTTTTCGGTGGGGCGCCCAAGGGGGCCACGAAACGTGGGATGGGTGTGCCGATATGGGCGCGGTGGTGCCATGCGAGCGCAGCCATTGGGGCCTTCGGTGGGGCTCCCTTTCGGGCATCGAAACGTGTAAGGGGTGAACCAGAATGGGCGCGGTGGTGCCGTGCGAGCGCAGCAATTTCGGCCTTCGGTGTAGCTCTCGGTTGGGCCACGCAACGCGAGAGGGGTGCGTCACATCGGGTGCGGTGGGCGCATGCGAACGCAGCCAGTTGAGTTTTCGGTGGGGCTCCCTATGGGTTCGGTGGGGCTCCCTATGAGGCAACGAAGCGTGTGATATTGCCGAAATGGACCTGGCGGCGCCATGCGAGCGTAGGATTTTGGGACTTCGGTAAATCTCCTTATGGGGCCACGGAAACCGTGATGTGTATGCCACTGTGGATGCGGTAGTGCAGTGCGGGCGCAGCGAATTCGGCTGTCGGTGAGGCTCCCTGTGGGGCCACGAAGCGTGGGAGGGGTGTGCCGAAATCGGCGCGGTGGTGCCGTGCGAGCGCAGCAACTGAGGCCTTCGGTGGAGCTCCCTAACGGGCCACGAAGCGGGTGAGGGGTGTGCCGAAGGGAGATGGGCATGCAGAGAGCAGAGGCAGGGATGGGGAGGAGGAAGGGGGAGGAGGAGGAGGGGGAGGAGGAGAGGAGGAGATAAGGAAGGAACGCGGGGCGCTGTCCCTTCAAAACGAAGACCCGATGCCACAGGATGCTTGGGAATCTATAGGTGGAACTAAGGCGGCTAGCAGTCGGAACGTTTTTTTTGTTCGGAACCGAAGGGCAAATGCTCGGACCTGACGTTGAACCTCTCTTTCCGAGTGGTCGATTCGTTTTCCTGATCGATAACTCCTCCCAATCGCACCCCGAGGCCAGTCGAAAGGGTGGGCCGGGCGTTTCGCTTCATACTTCCTCACCACTTAGGATCCTGATCCTTTACAGTTTGCAACACTGTCACGCATGTAGGGCGGGCTGCTTCCGAAATGTCGATCTCGCCTCAGCGCCGCGCGCATTCGTTGTAACAGTCTGCAAGAGCTTTAGGGTTAAGTGCGGGTGGTTTGCAACATGCGGTTCTCGATTTAGCGCCGCGCACATGTGTGCCAAACATCGCAATAACTTCACGGACTGAGGGCGGGTGGGTTTCAAGGTGTGGTTCTCGCATTCGGGTTGCCCACATTCGTCTTTAAACATTGCCCGATGCTCACGGATTGAATGCGGCTGGCTTTCGGAATGTGGTTCTCGCTTTGTCGCCGCGCACACTCGTTTTAGACAAACAGGCAGACAGACAGAAGCCTTGCGTCCAGGTGGACGCGTTGGCAGGAACAGCTTCACGGATTGAGGGCGGCTCGTTTCCAAAATGTGGCGTTCGCATTTGCGCCGCTCACATTTGTTCTAAGCATGTACATGAATTTCATTGGTGTTCATGGTTAACGTACTAGAAATGGTGTTTGAGATTGCTCATGGTATCATGGCGCAGAAGCTATCTTGTTTCGCGGTGTTGAAATCCAAGGGGTGGTGTTCTGGGACGATTCACAGTCAGTAGCAGTCTGGTTAATTCGTGGCGTCGAGGTCCTCATAATGGTGTTTTGGCAAGCGTCAAAATGTTCACACGGTTGTCCCCCAACGGGGCAATCCGTCAGTGGAAATGACCCCATGTAGGGGCTTGTGTAAAAGGATTTTGGAGGGAGGGTGTATTTCAACATCGTTGATGAGTTTTGGGTTTACACAGGTTTTCCTCCTTCTTCTCCTCTGTAGGGGCCTATGTACAGGGATCTTGGAGGGAGGGTGTTATTCAACTTCGTTGATGAGGTTTGGGTTTGCACTGGTCCTTCTCCTCCTCCTCCGCTGCTCCTCGCCCCTTTCCCTTTCCTCGCCTGGGATGCGGCCCGAACTTGCCCGTGCCATTTTGGCGCCTCAGCCACTGGGGTCTTCTGATGGAGCTCCCTTGAGCGGCCACGAAACGTGCGACGGGTGAACCGGATGCATACTTTGCATGCGAACCTTCCCACTGGAGCCTTCGGGTGTGCCGAACTGGGCGCGGTGATGCCATGCCAGCGTAACCACTTCAGCCTTCGGTGGAGTCCCCTATGGGGCAACGAAACGTGTGAGGAGTGTGCCAAAATTGGATGGGCATGCAGAAAGCAGAGGCAGGGATGAGGAGGAGGGATGGGGGGGAGGAGGAGGGGGAGGAGGAGAGGAGGAGATAAGGAAAGAACGCGGGGCGCTGTCCCTTCAAAACGAGGACCCAATACCACAGGTCCTTATCGATCACTCCTCCCAGGCACACCCTGAGGCCGGTCGAAAGGGCGGGCCAGGCCTTTCGCTTCATATTTCCCCACCATGTGTGATTTTGATGTTGAAAAATTGGCAACACTGTCGCACATGTAGGGCGGGCTGCTTCCAAAATGTGGCTCTCGCCTCAGCGCCGCGCGCATTCGTTGTAACAGTCTGCAAGAGCTTTAGGGTTAAGTGCGGGTGGTTTGCAACATGCGGTTCTCGATTTAGCGCCGCGCACATGTGTTCCAAACATCGCAAGAACTTCACGGACTGTGGGCGGGTGGATTTCAAGGTGTGGTTATCGCATTAGCGCCGCCCACATTCGTCTTTAAACATTGCCCGATGCTCACGGATTGAAGGTGGTAGGTTTTCGAAATGCGGTTCTTGCTTTAGCGCCTCGCACACTCGACTTAACAAGTTGGAAAAACTTCACGGATTGAGGGCGGCTCGTTACCAAAATGTGGCGTTCGCGTTTGCGCCGCGCACATTTATTTTGAACATGTACACGAGTTTCATTGGTGCTCATGGTTACGGTACCAGAAATGGTAGTTGGGTGCGGTTCATGACATCAAGGCGCAGAAGTCATGTCGTTTCGCAGAATGGAAATCCAAGGGATGGCGTTCTGGGGCGATTCGCAGTCAGTCGCAGTCAGGTAAGCTTGTGGCGTCGAGGTCCTCAGAATGGTGTTTTGACACCCGTCAACATGTTCACACGGTTGTTCCGCAACGGGGCAATCTCTCAGTGCAAATGACCCCATCTAGGGGCCTGTGTAAGAGGATATTGGAGGGAGGGAGGGCGTATTTCAACATCGTTGATGAGGTTTGGATGTGCATTGGTCCTCCTCCTCCTCCGCTGCTCCTCGCCCTTTTCCCTTTCCTCGCCCGGGATGCGCCCGGAACTTGCCCGAACCACTTTGGCGCCCCAGCCACTGGGGCCTTCTGATGGAGCTCCCTGTGCGGCCACGAAACGTGCGACGGGTGAACCGGATGCATACCCTGCATGCGAACCTTCCCATTGGAGCCTTCGGTGGAGCATTCGATGGGGCCACGAAGCGTGTGAAGGGTGTGCCGACATGGACCCGAGTACGCATGCGAAGCTTGCCACTGGAGCCTTCTGAGGAACTCCCTGTGGGCCTACGAAGCGTGTGACGGGTGTGCCGACATTGGCCAAAGTACGCATACGAACCCTGCCACTCGCGCCCTCGGTGGAGCTCCCTTTGGGGCCACGAAGCGTGTGAGGGTGAGCCGAAGTGGACCCGAGTACGCATGCGAACCCTGCCACTGGAGCTCTCGGTGGAGATCCTTCTGGGGCCGCCAAACATGTGAGGGATGTGCAGAAGCGGACCCGAGTACGCATGCAACCCCTGCCACTGGAGCCTTCGTTGGAGATCCTATGGCGCTACGGAACGTGTGCGAGGAGTCCCGGCATTGAGTCGAGTACGCATGGGAACCCCACCATTGGAGCTTCCGGTGGGGCTGAGTATGGGGACGCGAATTGAGTGAGCGGTGTGCTAGAATGGGCCCGAGTACGCATACGAACCTTGAGTCTGGAGCCTCTGGTAAAGCTTCCTATTCGGCCAAGAAGCGTGCGAGGGATGTGCCAAAATGGACCCGAGTACGCATGCGACCCCCCCTGCCACTGGAGCCTTCGGCGCAGCTCCCCATTGGGTCAGGAGACGGTGTGAGGTTGTCTCGAAGTGGACCCGAGCACGCATGCAAGCGCTGCCACTGGAGCCCTTGCCGGGCCGTGAAACATACGAGTGGTGTGTCGAAGTGGACCCGAGTACGCATGCGTGCCCTGCCGCTGGAGCCTTCGGAACAGCTCCTTATGCGTGCCCTGCCGCTGGAGCCTTCGGAAAAGCTCCCTATGGGGCCACAAAGCGTGTGAGGGTTGTGCCAAAATGGACCCGAGTACGCATGCGAACCCTGCCACTGGAGCCTTCGGCGCCGCTCCCTATGGGGCCACGAGACGTGTGAGGGGTGTGCCGAAGTGGACCCGAGTACGCATGCGAACCCTGCCACTGGAGCCTTCGGCGGAGCTCGGGGAGGAGAAGAGGAGGGGAGACGCGGGTCGCTTCTCACTCAAAACCAGGACCCAACACATAGGAGGGAAGGTACAAACTAATCGTGCCGAAATTCCAACGGTCCCACGATATTCCGACGATCCGATCCAGAGGAGTGGGGGGGGGCCTCGCCGCCACGGCTGGACGCAGCTCGGAGAACCCGTGCGTTTGGACTCCGGGAGGGTCCAGAGACCGATTTTGAATTGCTGTTGTCTCATATCGCCCTGCTCCGACCGATGTGGCCCAATTCTCGCATGTCGTTTTTGTGCATCCTGGCGCAGCCGATCCGATTCGAAATCGACTCCGTGCCGGTGCACCCCGATCTGACGCACGTTCTGACTCGATCCGATCTGTCGATGTGATGCTGACTAATCCTGGTCAGGAGAGGCATTGGGAGATGAACGCCCTCTTCCGGAGTGTGAAGGCCAGCGACGTCGACATGCCGAGGCTCAGGAGACGGAAAGGTACTGATAGCGCTACCCGTCGTTCTTTTTCCTGCCTTTTTGGGCCTCCTGGGAGGCCCTTGTCGCCACGGCTAGATTCGCCTCGCAACGCTGGTCAGATCGCATCCCAGGAGAGGGCAGGGGTGTAGCGGTTCGGTACATTTTCGTTCGCCCGAGAGGCCGCTCAACGAGCGCGAGCGCTCCGTGGTGCAGAAGGTGCTTTCGAAGCTTTCGCCAAGAGAGCGCGGAGAGGAGGTCGTGGTGGACGTCGGCAAATCTGTGGAGAGGGCGGTTTATTGCGTAGGTGCAGCGCCATGCGTAGTTCCCAATTCTCGACCATACCGCGTAAAGAAGGACAAACTCCTATCGCCTGAGCAGGTCCACGCGGTGCAGGGGATCTTCAAAGAGGACTTCCCTGCGCTGGCGCGCTGGGGAAAGGAGAAGAAAATACTCACGCGCGACCTCGCTGGCAATGCCTTCTCCACAACAGTGTGCATGGCGGTCGCCATCGCGGTACTTTGCCATGGCCCGTTGCCAGGGACAGGCGCCCTGAAGCGCATTCAGGCGGTCACGGAGGATCGACATACTAAAGCCGCAAGTGATTCGTATTTTCGTCGATGGGCGAGGAACGAGCATCCTCAGAGTTTTCACGTCACATAACGCAATGGGTCAACGTAGCGACCCCCGGCCCATACTGTGGGCCTGTTTCGCATAAAAGTCCGATAGGGACGCTTCTGGCTTCCTATGGTTTTCCCCGGCCTGCGAGCCCCTGTGTATTCGCATGTGTTCCTTCGGATTTGCACGCGTATTGCACTTAGTGTGTTCATGGGCTACTGCGAGTACGCATTTTGGTTATAATTGGTATTGTGATGGTTTTGGATGGCTGTAGTCGTGTGTGTTTGTATTTGTGTTGATGCGTCTATGTGTGTGTGGTTGTGTCCTATGTGTGTGGCTGTGTGTATACATACGCATGTGTGTAGGTGTGTATGCGCAAATGCTCCTGTGTGTGCATGTGCGCAGGTGTGTGCCGTCGACAGGGGAAGCAAAACGTGTCCTTGGTAGGATTGTGTGTATGTGTTTGTGTGCGCATGTGCTTGGATAGTTGTATGTGGCCGTGTGTTTGGATTGCCGTGCGCCTGATTTCCACTGTCTGTGATCCCCTAGCAGTGTTGGCACTGCCGATTACCTTATTTGCGCAGGAAGGCGCTGGCCCTGTCTGGCGGTGTCGAGCAGTTTTCGTCCCACGAGGAGCCCACGCACCGTGGCCTGTGATGTCGGGCGCGTACGTGGGTAAGCCGCAGCTTTGGATGTGTTGTCGGACATGGATTCCGACATGGGTCACGAACATAGGGCTCAACATTTACAGCTCCGCGTACTGAGGGTCGCGCACGATGGGTTCCGCACGCGTGGTTCCAAACCACGGGCCCCACACAGAGGCCCCGCAACAAACAAATATGGTTCCGCTTGGCGTAGAGTTCCACATACATGTTATAGGCTTCTGCAACATATAACCCAGCCCACATACAGAGTTCAACGCCTGCTTCAATGATGAACTCTTGCGGCCTACGCGGTGGAATTATGCATCCTCGCACTGCGTCCCGATATATCACTTGTCGTTCCCACTTGGAGTCGGCGTCAGCGCTGAGACACATACAGGGGTTGCTGCATTCCTTGAGTGACCCGGTGAGACCATGGAGATATGAGCACCCCACCGCGCTGGGGCGTTCGCCTCCAGCTGGTGGAACCACAGGCTGCTCTACTGTTCGGCGGTGCGCCCGAGGGGGGGGGGGGGCAGAGGGGGCGGGCCTCCTCGGCAGGCTCCGGTGGCCCCTGGCCGCCTCAGAAGCTTCGCGAGCCTCTTCCGAGGCCACACGGGGGCTTCTCAATGTCACCCAGGCCCCCGACGTCGTGTTTTTTTTTCGCAGCGTCGACCCCCAGAAGTTTGGACCCCTTCCCCGGGACCGGTTCTCATCCCGAGCTCGTGGTTTTTTGACGGTCCCTAGGCCCGGGAAGGGCCCCCAGAGGCCGAAGGTAGCGAGAAACTTCCCGTCGTGTCTTCCGAGGAGGCCCGCCTCCGCTGCTTTCCCCCCTCTTCGCGCGCGCCGCCGAGATTTTTGCTCCTCCCGAGGAGGAAGATGTGCCACAACCATGCACTTGTGGCGCTCCGCGCGGACTTCCTGGATCCGCGCTGGGCCCCCTCCCCAGCGGCGCCTCCGGCGCCGCCCCTGGCACGATCCGCGCGCCAGGGACGACGGGGGTCCAGCGTAGATCCGGCAAATCCACGCGGAGCGCCAAACGTTTATTGCTTATGCCCTAATCAGTGCTTGCACTGATGGGGTCTTAGCGGAAATTGAAAGATTTGGCAACAATTTCCTGCCGATTTTGGTGGCCGGCTAGGTTCCCGGGTTCCCGGTTCCGGGTTCCCGGCTCCGGGCCGATTTCGTTGGGTTCCAGGTTCCCGGGTTCCCAGGTTCCCGGTCGATCTCCTTATCGATCTCTTCTTCGATCCCACGATGCATTACCGATCTCATGATCGATCTCCCTAATCCTCTCAATCAATCGATCCCCCCGCTCGATCTCATCGAACCATCCATTGCTTGGGTGTTTTCTTCGGTGTAGTTGCTTATGTGCTTTTTGTTGTTCTACTGATTCCTCTCGCGAGGAGCACCTCGAGGGGGCCGCCGCTCCAGCCACGCCGCCCGCGAGGGCCTCGCGCGCCCCCGTGGCGACGACGCCGCGGCGCGTGCAGCCCCCGCGCGCGGTCAAGAGGACGTTGCCCCTGGAACCGGCCGATGCCTGCGAGGTCGGAGCTCAAGAGACGGGGGCCAATGCAAACGGGGGTCAGCCAGGGCACCGGATCCTGCAGGATCCTCGGATACCCCCTCTGGCTGACCCGGGTTAGCGAGCCGCTCCTGGCCGCGAGGCGGCCGCGCATTTTGGCTGATCCGGGGGGATTGCGAAGCCCTGCGTTGCAGTTTTGTGTCCTGCATTGCAGTTGTTTGGTTTCCTGCTGACACAGGTCTGATTGACCCCGGTCAGCAGATCCCCGACGAGGGTTCGAGATGTCAGGAAGACAACTATCGGGTTGGGAGGATGGGGTTCCCAGACCCCTCTTGTCGTGGAACAAACGCGGCGGGAGGATTTTCGTTGCTTTCGGCCTCCGGGGGGCCTTCCTGGGACCCGGGACCGTCGAAAACGACTCTGCATGGGTGAAAAACCAGTCAAGGGGAATTGGTCCAGACTTCTGGGGGTCGACGTTGTGAAAGAATCACGGCGTCGGAGATCTGGGAATGAAGATATCTTTGCCCGTAGGCGGCCGAAGGTATCGCTCATTGCATCCAGGCGCTGTTGTTCATACCCTTCATCCTCCAGACCCCCTCCTCCCAACACGATAGTTAGTGGCTCTCCTCGAGATGGAAGAAGAAGTGTCAATGACACGCCTCCGTCGGGAGCCCGTCAGCGTCTGCGTCCTCTTCTTTTATTCGGACAGCTTTGTGTCTCTTCGGGGGCCACACGCTGATGGCCTCCCCTAGCGTCGTGCCGTTGGTTTTGCCGTCCGTTCCCCTGGATGTCGGCCTTCCCGCGTCGCGGTCTGGACTGGAGAGTTGCCCTTCTCACAGAGGCGTGGCGCGAGAGCGCCAGGGCGCGAAGTTGACCCAGCGTCGCGCCTCGCGGGACGCGGTGCGCGAAGTTAGCTGACATTGGCGGCCAAGGTCAGAATCCACCGCCTGGGGAAGCGATGTCCCAGGACTCGCGGGGACAGCGGATGCGGAGACCTTCGGGCCCCGCGGGGGTCCGAATGTGTCCGTGTCCGCTGTCTCCTGGCGACCTGGTTCATCGCCTCCCCAGGGGCGGATGATGAAAATGATAATGATGATACTGATGATGATGATGATGCTGCTGATGATGATGATGTTGATGATGATGATGATGATATTGATGATCATGATGATGATGGTGATGGTGATGGTGATGATGATATTGTTGCTGATAATGATGGTGATGATGATGAAAATGATGATGTCGACGATGATGGTGATGCTCATGATGCTGATGCTGAGTCTGATGATGATGACGATCATGCTGGCTTCAATAGAGTATGATGGTGCTGAGGATGTTCATGATGATAATGCTGATTGAGGTAATGACGACGATGATGGGCACTAGGAACATGACGATGGTGGTGACAGCAATCATGCTCATAATCATAATGATAATGATGAGTATGGTTATGCTGATGACGATGGTGATGGTTATGCTGATGATGTTATAAATGCTGTTGATGATGCTGATGATGATAGTGATGATGATGATTATGATGATGATGATGCTGATAACGACGACTTCAAATGATGCAAATGACGGTGACAATGGTGATTTTGATGAGGATGTGAATGCGGATGGTGATGATGCTGATGCAGATGGCGACGACGACGATCATGCGTATGATGATGACGATGGTGATGATACCGGTCTTGAACATAATGATGATAGTTATGGTGGTGATGAGGATGATGATGATAACGATCATGATGATGACGATGATGATGAGGAGGAGGATGAGGGGGATGATGATGATCACACTGGAGACGATGGTAATGCTGATCATGATTGTGGTGATGATGATGCTGATGATGTTGATGACGATGCTGATGATGATGGTGGTTGTGATGATGATGGTGAGTGTGATAATCATGGTGGTGAGTTATGCTGATGATGATAATGGTGGTGATGCCGATGCTGATGATGAAAATGGTGCTGATGTACATGGTGGTGATGTTGATGTTGATGATGCTGATGATGCTGATGACGATGACGATGACGATGACAATGATGATGTTGACGATCATGACGATGACGATGCTGTTGATGGGGGTCACGATCATGACGATGACGATGGTCATGATGACAATGCTAATGTGGAGGAAGAGGATTGAAATTATCATGACGGTACTGCTGATAATGGTGATGGTAATGTTGTTTGATGGTAGTGCGTCTGATGATCATAGTTGTTGTCTGGATGATGATGGTGATGGCGATGATGATACTCATGGTGATGGCGATGATGATGTTGATAATGGCGATGATGATGGTGACGCTGGTGATGATGTTGCTGATGATGATAATGTTGATGATGATGCTGATGATGATCGTCATTATGATGATGAGGATTATGATTATGTTGATGATGGTGACGGTGGTAAGGATGATGATGATGATGATGTTGTTGCTGATGAGGATGCTGACGATAAGGATGATGATGATGATGATGATGCTGATGATGATGGTGCAAGTAATGATGCTAACGATGCTGATGATGGTCATGATGTTGCCTCTGATGATGATTGGTGGTGATGATGGTGCTGCTGGTACTGATGATGATGACGAGAACGATGACCTCAATGCTGATGATGATGGTGATGATGAGGATGATGAGGATTAGGATGAGGATGAGGATGGGGATTTGAATGATGATGATAATAAGGACCACATACATGGCGGGTCATAGACAGCGTCGTGAGGCTGAAAATGAATTCAGGCATGCTTGCGTGCACTACTGCACGCAGCCGTTGCTTCGGAGGCAGCCGCAGCAGACACATCATGCCCGGAGCAGGGCCGTTCGGCACCGCTTCGCACGATTGTGCGCGTGGTCGAGCAGCTGGCGGTGCGAAACAGAATCTCGCGATCAAGTGGGGCACGCCGTTGCGTCTGGTGCCAGGACGGCTGCCACATGCTTCGGTACCCGTGGGCTCGCATCTTATGCGTAGCCAGGGCCTTCTTGGATGTAAAACGTTTGTTGCACTGCTCGCATGCGTGCGTCAGCACGGCTTCCTCTGGGGGTTTGGCCTCCGTGCTCGCCCCGGCACTGAAGTCGCGCATGACAGCTTTGAAATCGGCTGGCTGCTCCTGGGCCCAATCAACCTACCTTTTCCATTTCGCGCGCGGGTCGCGAATGGAATCCAGGCCTACAGCATTGGCTTGCGAATGATCCCGCTCGCGCATGCTTCGCATATCCTCTAACACAAGCTTGGCCCAGGCAGACGGCCTCGGTCCATGCGCCTGCAGCGTAGCCAGCAGTGGTGGAAAAGGATTCTGCAGAAGACTGAGTACGTAGCCCAAACGCCTGCGCCGCAAACGATTCGCGATCGAGGGCCACTGCATCTGCCTCAGTAGTTCAATGTCTGCGCGCCGGAGCCTGCCTGGTATTGGAACCCGCGGCTCGCGCATGATTCTGCGGACGGCCCGCGCGATGATGATGCTGATGTTGATGATGATGTTGATGACGACGATGTTGATCAGAACTATGACGATGACGAGGTTGGTGATAACGGCCATGATCATTATGCATTATGATGTTGAGCATGGTGATATTGCTGATGCTGGTGGTGATAATGGTGACGAGGACGATGGTGGTGATGATGATGATGTTTATGGTGCTGATGTCGCGTCGCTGGTGGTCATGCTGTTGCGGATGGCGATGACGATGCAGATGATGAAGAGAACTTCGATGATGTTGATGATAATAATAACGATATTGATCATGGTGATGCTGATGATGACGATGATGATGAGGAGGAGGGAGATGACGATAATGATGGCAATGTTGACGATTGTAATGCTGGTGGTGGTGATGATGATGCTGATGCTGATGATGCTGATGACGATGATGATGATGTTATTGATGATGATGCTTATGATAATGATGGTGGTGGTGGTGATGATGGTGGTGATGATGCTGGTGGGTGTGAGAAATCATGGTGGTTGGGATGCTGATGGTGATGCTGATGCTGATGATGAATAGAATGTTGCTGCTGCGGGTGATGATAATGAAGATGCTGATGGTGCAGCTGCTGTTGCTGATGCTGCTGGTGATGGTGCTGATGATGTTGATCGCCACCGTGACCGTCATGATCGTCATCATCCTCGTCATCATCATGGTCGCCTGGATGGGCCACCCCCGAAATTTCATCAGTGGGGTTCCTTGTTGGGCTCTGCCCGTTATTCAGGCAAGCGGCAAGAGGGGGAGAAGGAGGAGGAGGCGGAGGAGGAGAATAATGATCAGATCGCAGAAAGTGGAGGTGTAGGAGGAGGAGGAGGAGACGCGAGGAGGAGGAGGAGGGAGGCGCGAGTTTCGCGAGAGTAGTGTTCTACTCAGAACGAGGGTCCAAAACAGGAGGATTGGGAATCACATTGAACACGGTTTCATAGTTTTGAACCGATTTTCATTGTCTCTGGGGGCCATCGTATCGTTTGGAAACATACTGGACCCCATCTGGGTTGACTTGGAGCATCTGGTGCCATCTTGGGCCCATCGTTGGCTTCCGGGGGCCATCCTGGGGTAATCTGGGCCACCTTGGACCCTTGGACGCCCTGGCCCCTGGCGAAGCCCCCTCCAGACGGGAGGAGCAGCCCGACCAGGGGCGCACTCGCCTTCAGGCAGCAACAGCAGCGCCGATCCGCCAAACCGCCAACGCGGCCGGTGGAACTCCTCCTACTCCTCCTCTTCCTCTCCTTCTCCTCTTCCTCCCTCCTCCTCGTCCTCCCTCCTCCTCCTCCCTCCTCCTCCCTCCTCCTCCTCCTCCTCCTCCTCCTCCTCCTCCTCCTCCTCCTCCTCCTCCTCCTCCCTCCTCCTGCTCCTCCGCCTCCTCCTCGTCGTCGTCCTCCTCCTCCTCCTCCGCCAAACCGACACGCGGCGGAGGGGCCCAACTCTGCACCTACACCGATCCCGGCCAGGGGCACATCTGGGGCCCAGGCTGCGGGTGATATGCCCTCCTGGCTCGGCGAGGGATGCGTACACACACCAATCCTTCGCCCAGGGTCGGCCTGGCCGGGATCGGTGCGGGCGTATAGTCGGCACACTCCTCCCACTTTGTTGTGATAGGCCAGCACAGCGGCGCGCCGAGAGGTTGCAGCCGTGGGCCGGACCGTTCTCTGCATGCTGCGCTCTCTCCTGGCAGAGGTGTTCAAAGGCAGTTGCATTCCCTGAGCAGTGCTGTTGATGGTGATCTCTTTTCACTCATTATATTGCCGATCGGCACGGGCCCTCTCCCCCCCCTCCCCCCCATGGAGTAGATCTTGGCTGTTTTTGGCGCCTGCTTCGAGCAGGTGGAGTCCCTCCCCCAGAGGACACACTGTTCCAAACAGTCGCACTAAGCAGAGATTCGCAGCCAGACCTCCCCCTTCCCCCCTCCTTCCGCCCAATGTCGAAATGCCGACTACAAAAACGCTCACATGGGGAAGTGGCGAGTGCAGGCGGCAGAGCTTTGGTGCGTTTGCCCGAAGGACCCGCGCCGGCGCCAGTTCACCGGCAGCGGGCGGCCCGCTGGCGAAGAGGTTGAGGGTGAAGTCCAGTGACGTGGGGCGGCAATACGAGTTCTAGCCGGGCGTTGCTTTATATTTTCTATTCTAGACGCTTCGCGTAGCCCCACAAGCCCATCCAGAAACGATGCCCTGACGAGTTGCCCTGATCAGGGATGTGGAGTACAATGCAGTGGACTACAGGATTGTGTAAGTGGGGGAGGATGGAGGATGGATTGGAGGCGAGAGAGCAGGAGGAGATGGGGAGGGGGAGGAGGGACGAGGAAGCAGGAGGAACAGGCGGATGAGGAAGAGGAGGAGGAGGAGGAGAAGGAGGAGGAAGATGGCGAGCAGAAAGGCTAGAGGCTTCTTGGATGCATTTCGGATCCTCTTCGGATTTTTGTTCGGAAGTGTCTTGGAGTCCTCTTGGGGCGTCTTGGGGATCTCTTGGCAGTCCTGGAGGCATCGTGGGGCGTCTTGGGTGTCTCTGGGGGGCCTCTCGGAGCCTCTTGGGGGTCTCTTGGGAGCCTCTTGGGGGCATCTCGGGGGCATCGGGCCTCTTGAAGCCTCCTGGGCATTTGTCGTCTGGTCGTGAGCCCCGTGAAATTTGCACACACTTGTGGCTTGTGCTGCGCGAGTCTGGTGTACTTTCTCCAGGATGTTTGTCTCGGGGGCCCCAATCTAAGCACCAGAAATTCTGAGGACGTGGTCCTGGCATGGTGCACGGGCGCTTTTCGGCCCCCCTCGCGCTGACTTATGACACTACACATCCGAGGATCTAGAGCAGAGGATGTTTCCAATATCTGACCTGGATAACAACTTGGAGACGGAACTGGCGCAGGGAACTGGAGCGCCTCCGCCTCGCAGCCTGTTGGTCCCCCGCTGGGGGCCGGCCGATCCTCCGGGTGCGCCTTGTGCTCGTGTCGGCCGCCAGGCTTGGGCAGGGTATCTAATCAGGCGCCTTGTGCCGGAGGAGGAGGAGGAGAAGGAGGAGGAGGAGGAGCAGGAGCAGGAGGAGGAGGAGGAGGGGGAAGAGGAGGAAAAGGACCAGTGTAAACCCAAGAGTCATCAACGATGTAGGAATACACCCTCTCTCCAGGCTCCCTCTGCACAGGCCCCTACAATGGTTCATTACCATCTAGGGAACTGCCTCTTTGGAAGGCAACCGTTTGAAGAACCCGAAGCATGCCAAAACATTGTTCTCGGGATTCCAACGCCACGGATCCACCTGACTGTTGCGTCTTGACAATCCTGAATCGTGTCAGAACGCCATTCAGCTAATCAACATAGCTGTCGCACCCGCATAATCCTGAGTCCTTTGAAAACACCCTATCTGGCACATTGATAACAGGAACCCGTGGAGCTCTTGCAACTGTGTAAACCGAATGCGCGCGGTGCTGAGGCGAGAGCCACATTTTGAACAGGAACCGCCCTCAACCCGTGAAGTTCTTGCAACTTTGTCAACAAGAATGTGCGTCGCGCTCAGGCCAGAGCCGCATTTTGAAAACGACCCGCCCTCAATCCGACAAACTTTTGCACATGTTTAGAACGAATGTTCGCCGCGCTAAGGCGAGAACCACATTTTGAAAACGCCACGCCTTCAATGCGCGAAACTCCTTGCACATGTTGTAAACGAATGTGCGCGGCGCTAATGCGAGAGCCACATTTTGAAAACGGCCCGCCCTCAACCCGTGAAGCTCTTGCAACAGTTTCAAATGAATGTGCGCGGTGCTAAGGCGAGAGCCATATATTGAAAAGGACCTGCCCAAATCCGTGAAGCTCTTGCAAATCTTTAAAACGAATGCGCGCCGCGCTTAGGCGAGAGCTTCATCTTGGGAAAAAAAAAACCCGCCCTCAATCCGTAAAATTCTTGCACATGTTTAGGACGAGTGTGCGCTGCGCTAAGGTCAGAGCCACATGTTGAAAATGACTCGCCCTCAATCCGTGAAGCTCTTGCAAATGTTGTAAACGAATGCGCGCGGCGCTAAGGCGAGAGCCGCATTTTGAAAACGACCCGCCCTCCATCTGCGCAATTGTTGCCAGTTTTTCAGCTTCAGAATCATCAATGGTGTGGAAGTCTCAGGCGAAACGCTCGGCCCTCCATAAAAATTGGTTTCGGGACAGGGTGAAGCTTTTCATAAAGAAAAGGAATGGAGGAGGAGGGGTGGGGGGAGGAGGAGGAGGACGACGAGGAGGAGGAGGAGGAGGATCGAGGATCGATGAAGAGGAGGAGTCTTCTCTTGCCCATGAGCTTCGTGAACCTGCTCGTTTTCCCTTCACAAGGTGCGCGTGTGGCGCGTCCCCCCTCTCTCGACTTCGCCCCCCCCCCCTCTCCCCCCCCCCCCCAGTTCGAGAAGACCTCATCCGTGTTACGCGTCTGTGTTGCGCGCGTTTCGTCTTGCGTCCGAGCGTTTCGTTCCCCCTCTTCGGTGTCTCTCCAACTCTGGGGCCCAAGGGGGTGGGCCTCCCGTGGGGCCCACAGAGCTCCCCCAGCACACGAGGCACTCTCGGGCTCGGCTCCGAATCGCCGCCTGGAGGCTCCCGCGGGCCACGCCCTGTGGCTCCCACGGCCCCCCCTGGCGACTCCCTGGCGGCTCCCAGTGGCTTTCAGCGGCTCCACTTGCCAGAAGGGGGCCCCATGGGGCCGTCTGGCGGCCCGTGGCGGTACCATGCATCTCGCCAGACCCCCGACGTCGTGACTTTTTCACAACGTCGACCCCCGCAGAGGTCTGGACCCCCTCCCGTGGACGGGTTTTCATCTGGAGTCGTTTTGGACGCTCCCAGGGCCCTTGCGAGGGCCCCCAGAGGCCGAAAATGGCGAAACACCTCCCGCAGTGATGTCTTCACAGCGCGAGGAGGTATAGGAAAAAGGGGGGCCCATATGGGGCCCTCTGGCGGCCCGCGACGGCACCAGGCAGCTCCCGGGCGCCTCTCGGAGCTCCTCCCTGCGCATCTCCTGCCGGAGGCCTCCGAGGAACAGAAACACACGCCCCATAGAAGTGTGCGCCCCGGTGGCTCCCGGGGCCGCCCCCGGGGGCCCCGAAGACGCCGGAGAGGCGTTGGGGTGGAGTTCCGTGTTTGGGCTGCGGGCAAGACTTCTGTCCATCCTCGCTGCAGTACCCAGACCTCCTCGCGTTGTGCCAAAAAGACATGCCGGGAGGTTTTCCCAAATTTTCGGCCTCTGGAGGCCCTTACTGGCCCTCGGGGCCGTCAAAGACGAGTTTGGATGGAAAAATGGTCTCCGGGAAAGGGGTCGAGACCTCTGGGGGTCGACGTTGTGAAAGAATCGCGACGTTGGGGGTCTGGGTATGGAGTTTCGGGTTCCCTCCCCCAGACCCGAGGCGCACCGGATAGGGATACAGTTGCCCCCTATAGAGACTCCAGTGCGCCTCGGCCTCGCGGCGCCCTCTTCCAAGAAAGCCCAAGGCGCACAGGATAGTTATGTGGATGTAACTCTTGCGAAGACTGATAGGTTTCTAGTAGGGTCAAAAGAGAGCACTGTGACTCCCCATGGGGGTCTGGGCGCGATCCGGACGGGTGCCCCGGGAATCCGGGGACGGGTGCCCCGGGAATCCGGGAATTTTTTTAACCAACAGTAACGCATTTCGTGGTCTTCGAGTTCCCAGAACTCCATTCCTGGGTATGATTTTGAATGCCCGGAGCCAACTGTAGGCCACTTCGTGGTCTTCGAGTTCCCAGAACTCCATTCCTGGGCATGATTTTGAATGCCCGGAGCCAACTATAGGCCACTTCGTGGTCTTCGAGTTCCCAGAACTCCATTCCTGGGCATGGTTTTGAACGCCCGGAGCCAACTGTAGGCCACTTCGTGGTCTTCGAGTTCCCAGAAATCCATTCCTGGGCATGATTTTGAATGCCCGGAGCCAACTATAGGCCATTTCATGGTCTTCGAGTTCCCAGAACTCCATTCCTGGGTATGATTTTGAATGCCCGGAGCCAACTGTAGGCCACTTCGTGTTCTTCGAGTTCCCAGAACTCCATTCCCGGGCCAAATTTTGAATGCTGAGGCAGGCTGAGGCTGCAGAGCTGAGGCTGAGCCGAGGCTGAAGGACTGAGGCAGGCTGAGGCTGAGGCTGAAGGCTGACTGAGGCAGGCTGAGGCTGAGGCAGGCTGAGGCAGGCTGAGGCTGAGGCAGGCTGAGGCTGAGGCAGGCTGAGGCTGAGGCCGAGGCTGAAGGCAGACTGAGGCTGAGGCTGAAGCAGGCTGAGGCTGAGGCTGAGGCAGGCTGAGGCTGAGGCTGAGGCTGAGGCTGATGCTGAGGCAGGCTGAGGCTGAGGCTGAGGCTGATGCAGGCTGAGGCTGAGGCAGGCTGAGGCTGAGGCCGAGGCTGAAGGCAGACTGAGGCTGAGGCTGAAGCAGGCTGAGGCTGAGGCTGAGGCAGGCTGAGGCTGAGGCTGAGGCAGGCTGATGCTGAGGCAGGCTGAGGCTGAGGCTGAGGCTGATGCAGGCTGAGGCTGAGGCAGGCTGAGGCTGAGGCTGAAGGCAGACTGAGGCTGAGGCTGAAGCAGGCTGAGGCTGGCTGAGGCAGGCTGGCTGAGGCAGGCTGAGGCTGGCTGAGGCAGGCTGAGGCTGAGGCTGTGACTGCGACTGCCGTTGCCACTGCGACTGTCATCGCGAATGCGACTACGACTGCGAGAACAGCAGAATTCTACAACTGGATTCTCATCTGAATCTTAAGGGGAATGCTTCCAGATATGCTCCTACACATCGCTGTTAGGTTGCTTTGCCGGGATAATTCGTTTTAGTTCCTGCAGTGCAGCCTCCGGGGCCCGTTCTGGGGCCCCGAGGGACCATCGATTTGATTTGTCCAAGCCGTGTGTTTTTCCAGGAGTTCGTCTTCCGGGGCCCGTGTTGGGGCCCCGGGGGACCTTCAAGAAAAGATCCGGGACGCTAGACCACCCCCGGGGAAGGGGTCGGGACCCTTTGGGGCCGTGGATCGACAAGATCATATCGAAGAATGTTTGGGAGGGGTTATAGGGGAGGCGGGAGAGGATCGGGAGCAGGGCACAGCTGGCACGTCGAAAGTAAGGCATCGGGCTGCCGGCAGGCGCCCCCACGGAAGGCTCTTACAGTC